GAATTATTGGCACTCAACTCGAGCGTAACGCTTTTCCGTTGCATTTGTACCGATTTACATCCTAGTCATGCCTAAATAAGTTTTGCTTTAAATAAAAAAAACAATGTAGTAGTTACCGCTGAACACGAATCTAAAGTCAAAATTGGGGGTCAAGTGACAAAAATTGAAAAACTGTTAGAAAAAACGGCAAAATCTCTTATCTAGTCTGGCCTTTTTACCTTATGACTATATTGAGTTCCACAAATTGATCAACTGAGTTTTTTTGTATAGTTCAGCAGTAATTTGCAAATATTGAAATTTCATGTAGCTTTCCTATTGGAAGGTAAAATGCCACTTACACCCAGTTGGATCTGTATTTCTAATAAAAAAAAAAAATTGTTTGTTTATACAATTTTGTGATTCATATTTGCATTACTTGTTCTTTAAAAAAAAATTAAAACTAACCGAAAGACACAAAATAGATCTTTAGGGCTACTTGTTTTCAAATAAAAAATATAACATTTTTTTTTAATATATATTTTAGATTTTAGTATGTTCTTAAGATGGTATATTAGCATGTATATAGCGTAATATATTATAATTTAATATAGAACAAATTTGCCTTAGGCTTTTAGGAGTAGGACTACATATAGTACTATGAATAAGTAAGGGATAATATGGGGTATTTTGTGGAGGTTTTATCCGGGTACAAATACTTTTGGAAACACAATTATATTTATTGTTCTGTTATTGAATCACACTTGTCCTACGTTATTATGCTTTTTGCAATATTTACAATATAATGTTATTCTATTTGATTAGAAGTATTGACCTCCTTAATTATAGTTTTTTTTCTCATATAATAGAAAAATTGAATTTTACTAGTCAAAAATGAAAAGGTTTACTGTGGAGTTAATTATTGAATGTCCATTTTATTCATTTATTTTTAAAATAGATTGTAATTAATAAAAAAAATTTAAAAAAAGTTTCAATCTATAGTATCTAGAAAGGATAACATCCATCGTCATATGATGATTCCAATATTAATTGTATCAATATGTCTAATTTTTGCATATCTTTACGTTTTAGAGGTTCCTGAACACTTTGGCATACCTCAGAAAAAATGAATGTGTGTGTGTGTTTTGTGTGTCCGCAATTTTTCGTCCACATTTTAGGGCGCACGGATCATCCGATTTAAATGGTTCAAATTACATTCGATTTTTATTGATAGTGATATGTGCTGATTAGTTTTTGGCAAAGGCAGGTCGATCCGTTGCGCAGATACGGAGCAAAGAGTGCAGAAAATGCAAATCGAGTTTTTGAGAGAACGGAATATCCGATTTTAATGATCTAAAAAATATCCAATTTGTAATGATTGAGAGAAGTGGTGATTCGTTTTTGGCGAAGGCAGGTCCAGTCATTTCAAAGATACGAAGCAAAATATGCAAAAATGATATGAATGATTGGGATTGGGAGAACTAAGATCTGATTTGAATGATTAATAAAACTTTTTGTTTGTGTTGACTAAACAATTGCCAAAAAAATTTTTTTGTATATCGAAAATAATTCAGATTTTAATTTTATTTCTGGCTAAAGTTCTAAAGCTTACTTATATACTTTAAACAATTAGTTTTAACTTTGCAATTCAGTTTATATAATTCTTATAAATATTAGATAATCTTACAGTATTTATAATAATCTATTTGAAAATATTCAGTATTCCTCGAACATTTCCTTGCGGTACGGGAAGTTCCCCAAGCAATTTGCCTTTAAGCATGATGCCACACACCACCAGTTTAAAATATTTTCAATACCTTCATGTAACTATAAAATACATATTGTACAAAAATCTGTGTTGTCAAAATGATGGTAACTTTTAATTGTTAAAAGGAATATTTTACTCGTTATATTGCCTGTGTAATATTTGCATTTCCAATTAAAATTTATCACAATTTTCTCAATTAATAATAATTATGCTGCATATATTTCATAATTGCTCATTATTGACATTCGATAAATGAAATGTCAATATTACTAAATGATTAATGACAAATAATGTTTAATGGTAATGAACTGCCTTTGGTGTTTGGTTGTTAAGAAAAATTTAGTCCATTTATAAGTAGTCATTGATTCTCGTCAGCTTATACTTTTACTAAAAAATAGTGTATATGCAATTTTGGACTTATTGCGTTTTTTATTTAACTGAATTGAATAATTTCATCTGCCAATATACTGTTGACTGTAATGTATAATATTTTAATTTCTTGCATATCTCAGCTGCTTTTCGGCAATGATAATGTAGACATTACATTTTTTTTGTCTACCAAGAAATCTCTATTCCACCTCCTCATAAGTATACTTTCCATGTTTTACCAACTAATTAATTCCTCGGGGAGTCCTGTTTATTTATGTACAAATACTGTGTCATTATTTACCCTGTTTTGATCCAGCATCCACGAGCCAACATCGGCATATGATATATACCCATAGACCCCACAAATTCCTTTAGTAAGAAACCACAAAACCAAAAGAGATCCATCATTCACACTCCTTTGGCCTTACTAAGCGTTCATGGTGTTATATAACTGTCAGTGATACGTCTTATATAGAAATCGAGAGCCACGTGGAACAAGAAATAGGTATCCTATATACGAACAACTGAACTTGAATGAACGCCTTAGCTGAAAGAAAATGGAATAACTTAAGGGAAAATATTGAATTTAAATGAGGATGTATGATAATCAGACGGAATAAGCTTTGCACTTGTACGAACATATACCCACACAAAAGTATATATATACTAGATGACCCGACAGACGTTGTCCTGTACCCACGTCTACAATTCAAAAGTTCTAATTTTTTAATATGCTATCCTATACTTTTCAATGTCCTATTTGATGTCTTGTCTTTGTGATTCATTTATGGTCTTAGCATAAGCAGTATAAGAAATTCAGACAAAAATAATATAGTATCTGTGGTAAAAGAACAATATTACACTTTATTTTACCACACTACATAATTGCTTCAATAATTTAGTCTATAATTTTCATAATTTCGTACGATATATTAGTTGCTTTTTGGCAATTATAATTTCTAAAGTACATTTTCCTTATTAATATCTTTGTAAATATTATAGTTTATTTTTAGATATTAGGTGAATTAATTTGTAAAATCTAGTTCAATGATGGTTCAATCTAAGATCAACTTGCTAAATATTCCATATCCAATGCCAAACAAATAAATTTTTGGCGCATGAAACGAAATTCTAAATCATTTTTTTAATAAGTAGAAATATTTTTTTATTGTTAAATAATTTAGTAAAGTAAACCAAAATGCGATTTGCATAAGTTTAAAAAAACATTCTATATGCAATTTTAGACGTATTGCCTTATTTATTAAACTGAATTATATAATTTCATCTACCAATAATATACTGTTGACTGTATCTTATATTATTTTAATTTCTGGCACATCTCAGCTGCTTTTTGTCAATAATAATGAAAAAAAATTACATTTTTCTCGTTTATTATATTCTAATATTATCTAGGCTCATAATTTTAGCTAAATTCAAATTTCAAGTGAATTGACATTTCTAGTAGATGACAGTCGAAATTTTTCAATGTAAAATAATGATAAGTGGTTGTTTGTAATTTATGTCATTTATTTCTACAATATTACTACTGTTTTATCGTTCATTAAATCTTAAAAATTTCCTTTGACAAACTCTAGAAAGAATTATCATAATCCGAATAACCGTTTAGGAAGAGTATCAATTCATACATTATTACAGAAGAATTATATATATATATATATATATATATATATATATATATATATATATTTCTTCTGTACGGATGTATAAACTCAAACTCTTCCTACACGGTTATTCGAATTTTGATAAATCTTTTTGGAGTTTGTTAAAGAAAATGTTTTCAGATGTTATGAATTACAAAACTAGAGCAATATTCTAGAAATAAAAAGAAAAATATGCAAAAAACAACATATCATTGTTTCTACCGGATATAACAGCAAACCTGCTGAACTGCCTTCTTTTCTTCTTACTTTTCTACCTGTCTTTCTGTCTACCTGTCCAGCTGTCTAATTGTATACCTGTCTATCTGTCCACATATTCAGGTGTCTAAATGTCTATCTATTTACCAATAGTTATAATTTTATGAATATGTAAGAATAATTTGTAAAGATCATACTTGACCTACAAATATCAATTTTTGCTTTTTTTGCAAAAATGTAAACAATTCTTTATTTTGACAACACGGTAAAACATTTTTTGAATAATTTAAATCGGATGCTTTGATCTTTAAAAAAAATAAATGAATTGCCATTTTTGGAACTTTTTGCTCTCTTTTGATATCTCTGAAACGGCTAGAATTGTCTTGACTAAAATATAATCAGCACCTCTTCTTATCAATAGGAATTTTATCAATAGGAAAACGTCGACAAAATTGTGTATTCATACTATATACATACACCCATTAATCTTGAAGTATGCTAAAATGTTCAAAAATATTTGAAACCTTAAGATATGCAAAAAATTAAGATATGCAATTTTTTTGCGATTACTATAACTTACCCTACGGGGAGTTAATTACCATAATATAACTTCCTAGTAAATGTGAAAAACCACATGATTAAAGAGTTATAAACTTTATAGTCATTTCAAAATTCAAAGTATTTACTTTGGTATGTTGAAATTGAAAATATTTTGAAATAAACACTCACTACAAAAATAGAAGCAAACCAGGTGAACTTACCAAAAATATAATAATTATTCATTATTATCATTATATAAAACTGAAATATGCTAATCCACATTATTTTTCAATAAGTAAACGAAATATAAAAAAATAGAGATAAAAAAGTAGAATAATATTTGGATTAAACATATGCAAATTCTAATATTAAACTATTATAAGAATGTTTATGTAGAAAAAATAAATGAAGCATAATATGATAATATATTTTAACTAATATTTTAACTAATTGATATCTTTTTTTTTCAGATGAATTCTGTGACGGCTACCCGCACTACCTAATCCCGACACCTGGCTACTGGATAGAATGTTCCAGGCAAAAAATTGCAACCATCAGAGAACCTCCTGATTCTGACCAGGAATACGATGATCACACGGGACCTTCTCATATCGGAACTTCTTCTGGGACGTATATTCCCAGGAGGAAGGATGCAGGAGATTGCTGCACGGGGACTTCTGGTGTCGATCCTGATTCTAGAGGTAAGAGGATAATATTTAGGTGATAATGTAAATGAAACAGTTACACAGTGTCTTTGTGTGGTCAACATAATATAATTTAACACTTTCGGGACGGCACCGATTTCAAAACAATCTACTTTACCGGCTGTAAACTTGATTTTATTGTGTATGTTATGCAATTTGTTTGATAAAAATTTGTGGTCATTGAAGGACATACATTCATAATATTAATTTATTTTTGATCATTTTATAAAGAATGTTATAAACAATTATAATTATAAACAATTTCCAAAATGCATAGCTGGTTGATTTTGACATGTTTTACAATAAAATGTTGTTCGCCTCCTTTCTCCTGGTGCTTTCCTGTCAGAACAGACAATACAATCCCTTTTTCTTTCACTCGCATTATAATATGCCACTGATTAGTCAGTATATTTGGTCATTTTTTTGCTGCCATAATGGTTTATTTTTTCTATTATATTGTCTAATAATTCATTTTTAAAATATAAAGTAAAATAATTTATTTGATGTCTTATATTGCTTGGTATTTGTAGTCGGGGTGTTTGTTGATGTATGTCAAACTCGATTATTGAAGGAGAATCGGCACATTCGCTAATGTCTTCCCGCTCTTCATTTATTTTGTCGAACTTCTTCTTTTTGTTGGTTGGATAATATCATCATCACATTCATCACGATCAACGGCGCGAATAATAATTTCATAAAATTTATCTGTATGAATGTTTATTTGAAACTCATCTTCACTTCTGCTTAATTCACAAAATTCACTAGTCGTTTTGCCATATTTAAAAGCGCTCGGTCGTTTTAAATATTAAAAAAAAAGACCATATAGCGAAGAAAAAGGCTAAAAATACTACTAAAATAACTTAAAATTATTTTCAAAATACAATACTGTTTACCACTGCTATATGTGATTTATTCAACTTTTCGATGCAAACTGAGTCATTGTTTATAAAATAGCCTGTGCTTCACAGAGTGTGTTTGTCCACTGAGGTGGACAGCCGTCCCCAAAGTGTTAAAAACCAATTTTAATGTATAACTATCATTTTTCTAACCTTACAACTTGCTCTTACCATCAGTCTGATTTGGTCATAGGCAAAAGACACTTCTCATAATTGCAAAACAGTTGTACCATATCTGAAGCAAAACTTTTATGTAAACATTTAATATGATTCTTTTTCTACATCATCTATCTTTTACTACACCACTGGTTTACGTGGAATTTCGACGTAAAATTTTCTTTACAAGCTGTCATAACTTGGGAGCAAACATGTTGCTTGATGGCCGTTTTTTTCCTGTGTCGCTCGTGAAATTTTCTTTGTTATGTCTTTTCTGTAAAGGAAATAAATTCCCTGGTTTTATTTGGAGAGTTTTGAAATGGAAAAATAGAACAGATGGACGTGGAAAAGTTGTAGGACACTGGACTCGTTAAATATTCTGATCTGGAAAAGTAATACTCGATTGATGTCATTATTTAGTAAGTCTGTTCATCGATTTATACGTCAGTTCAAAATGCGGTGGAGGACAATTAGGCAAAGGCTGGATATTAAATGCTTGTAAAAATTAAAAAATATAAATACTTATTTTATTATGAAAGTGTATTGAAAATCAGAGATGTTGATGCCGATTTTTGTCGGGAATATCTTACTTGATTTTTTCCATTATTTAGACCAATGTGGGATAAATATTCTTGCAAAAAATGTTGGTCACCAAATCAAAAATGTTGGTACACGAAATAAAAATAAAGATTTGCTATATGTTGATAATTTATTGTAAAAATATCGGATTCATCTTTTCCATTAAAAATATTTTCTTACTGTTTACCTTATTTTTTTATTTATTTTGTTATTTTGTGCCATAAAATCTGACTTACCAATTTTATGTTATCTCGATGGTTCAAGTCATTTTGAATCATTTGTGACCTTTGGAAACAATCTGTATATATACATATATGTGAGTATGTTTTTTTGGACGGCGAAGAAAATACGTTCATGCTTCCCAGACTAGGTCTTTTGGTCGGACTCAATATCGACTGAGTAAAACCTATGCTTATCTCTAGTCTCTGGTCACCATGAAAACCGCCATTAGGAATTATTTTTAAGGGGGGAAAATCTAGAATGTTATTTTTTTTTGCACTGAAGTTATACTTATCTCTTAAATGAGCAAAGAGCCATTCCTTATGTGTGAGTATGTGCACGTATTTTTGGGACTTTTGATCTTTCTTTAACGTTTTTTTAAAAACGGCTGAACCGATTTCAAAATTTCCAAAAGTCTTTTGATGAATCTAAAGTTTATACATCTTAGTACATACTTTAAACTTCGTTTTAAATTGGTAAAAATATATTCATATCATTAACTTCCCGAAGGACTAGATTTGTTTTTATCAAAAAATCCAAATTGCTAATTTTGATTTATCGACGTTTCAAGCTATTCTGAATCGTATGAGACCAAATTTGCCGTAAATCGACGTTTCTCAAAAACGGCTGGACCGATTTCAAAAGTTTAAAAGCCATTCGATGCACCTCGTTGCGTTTATCAATTTTGCGCGACGATCGGCCAAGCCGTTTGTTTGTAAATCGTAGTATAGTGAAAAATTTATACCGATGTTTGTGGAACTTTTTTGGCGATATATTTTATATCAAGGTCTTATAGAACAAACTGAAATGTTACGGCCTTACGGCAAGCAGTTTACATTTAAAAATTCATCAAAGTTTGAGAAAATGAGAGTTTTTTTAACGTTTGTTAAAATTAAACTTAGACGATTTACTTGTAATAATGATAGAGTACTTGGTCTTAATAAACATACTAAACAATTAAAGTCCTACGGATACAGGTTCAATTATAAAAATTGATTTTTGAAAATTTGCTTTTAGTAAATACTCCGAGTTAACGTGTTCATTCGTTTTAAATTATGTGTAATAAATCCACTCGGTATTCTATTAATCACTCATAAATTAATTTATTTTTAATTGATTAAGTCGATTATTCACACATATTGGGAACTTCATGTAACTTGCCTCAAGGCTAAATACCAATACCAACTAGTTTAAATTAAAATTAGGGTTAATATTTAATGTGAATTAATAATATATAAATCAGCATATATTGTGTGTGTATGCGGACAAATTATACGTCCAGAATGTCCCTAATTATCAATCCAAACACTTTCTATTCAAACTACACCAATGTAAAGAATAATGCCAGCAATTCAGGGACGTTTTATTGTGTATTCATGAATTAATCATTAGTGATTTGTAGTGTTTGAACTACACAGGTACCTACTACTAACTTCTATTTAAATTATGTACTCTATTTTACCTGTATTTATCAGAAATCTGATAAACAGGGGTATAATTTTTCTCTAGTTTCATAATCATGATTAATAAAACCAGAGATAATTGCATAGTGATTATTAGTTTAAAATTAAATGGAAATTGATAGATAGGTAGATAGTGAGCAAAATTAATAATCATAACCTGTAAAATTTGTTCATTGCATATAATTTATAAAAATTTACATGGTAGTACATACTTTTATTCTAAACCTGATCTTTGTTTTATAAAATGTAGGTTACTTATTTCTGACCAAGATTTCTATAACGTATGGTATAAATGATGCCTCATAATTGCAAGAAAATCAAAAAATGAGGTTTTTTATGACTTCTTCCCGAAGGAGATGTTTATATTTTCGCCACAAAATCCGATTTGCTAATTTTATGTTTTTTGATGTTTCAAGTCATTTTGAAGCGTTTAATCCGAAATTGGTTTATATATGTTTGTGAACCAAGTTTTGATCTCTGTTCGACGTTTTTTCAAAAAACGATGGATATATTGGTGTTTATATGTATGTGAACCAAATTTTGCCTTTTACAACCTCTGTTCGAAAGAGAAATTTATGTTTTTGTCACAAAATACGATTTGCTAATTTTATATTATCTCGACGCTTCATGTCATTCTGAAGCGTTTGACACCGATATTGGTGTGTATATGTATGTTGTTCGCGCCGATCAAAGTAGGCGGTTATGCGAATAGAAAACAAAAAATCATCAAATAGATAATTATAAAAATCAAAGTCAATTCAATCAATACATAATCAAAACATATTAAATTTGTTATAAATACTATTATAACTTATAAAATAAATATATACAGTTATTCAATTAAGTGTTTTACATATGGTCCTTCGAAAAGTAAATTCAAATTCAATCAAAACAAGATCCTAGAAATCATATGTGAATCAAGTTTTATTCTTTGGTCGACTTTTTTTTCAAAAAACGGTGGATATGTTTGTGTGTGTATGTATGTGAACTAAATTTTGGTCTTTTGTCGACGTTTTACAGAAACGGCTGCACCGATTTTGTAAATTTGGATGCCCTTTGATGAAATTCGATAGTCTCATCAATAGTTTTGATCTATGGTCGACGTATATGAACTAAATTTTGATATATTGTAGACGTTTTACAGAAACGGCTGCACCGATTTTAAAAATTCAAAAAGCATTTGATAAAACTCGATGAGGACTCGCATTCTGCGAAAAAAATTACCTACTTTTTTAGATTTAGCAGAAAAGGGCAAAACTTTCGATCCACTAGTTTTTTGTAAAGATCAACTGAGTTATTTCTTCCTAACTATTTTCTAAAGATTTTTTTAAAATTTAGCTTTTTGATAGCGATAATGTCTTGATAATGGTCTTAAGTATTATAGCCCTAGGAAAAGTAGTTTAATTGTAAAAAATTAATTGAAATTTAAAATGGACCAAAATGCCAAAATTATGTAATCAATATTTATATAGCATCAAAAGCTGCTAAATTTCAATTTATTATAAATAAAATGAAAAGTTGAAATTTCTAGAAAATATAAAATTAGTAAATCGGATTTTCTGGCATAAATATAAACTTTTGTTTCGGAAAGTTAATAAGTAAACTATTGAACTTTTGTTTTTAACTCTGTTTGATTAAGCAATCAGAAATACATAAGGATTCCTATAAGCTAAATTGACAATATTTGAGAGCGATGCCTAAGAAGAATTAACTTCAGTGAGATCTTCTTAGTTTAACAATTGAAAAGAATAAAATAAATTTATTAATTTATATAACGATTAAAGCAAAGGCATTCTTTTATTTATATCTATGTTAACTATAACACAGTTTTTTGTAATATAAACGATTTAAGAATTTTGTAATATAAAAATTAAGAATTTTAAAAAAGATTCAATTTTCTTTTAGAGCTTTGAAAAAAAAACTATTTTTGAGATTTTTAAAATTTTTGAAATATTTTTTTTTCAAAGCAATCGCGATACTTTAGTTGCGTATGAACAAAATATTGAAGCGTAGGTAAGGAAGCGTAAGTGGCGTAGGCGCCGCGTCGCAGTATAACGGATAAGCAATAGTTTGGAACCCAAAGAAAAGTGAACAAAACTAGTTATTCTTATTAAAATATCTATAAAATATGTGATAATTTGATGTGCATATGTCTCATGCTCATTTTTATCCGCCAAATGACGCCAATCTTTTTTATTGGAGCCTTACATTCATAAGTTCTTATTTTCGTTAATAGAAATAATATGTTTTTTGAATTATGCAAATTGAACGCTCCGTTCTCTCAAAAAATCAATTACCATTCTTTGCGCTTTTTGCGTTTTATCTTCAAAACGGCTCGACCTGCCTTTGTCAAAAACTAATCAGCACGTCTCATTATCAATAAGAATCGAATGTTTTTCAATTATTTAAATCGGTTGACTATAGTTCCCGAAATCGTCGACGAAAATTTGTATCCGCACACATACACATACATCATTTTTTTCTAGGGCATGGCAAAATGTTCAGAAACCTTTGTAACGTACAGATATATAAATATTTCGATTTTTATGCGATTATTATAACTTTAAAATTTAGTAAATTACAAAAAATGTGATATTTTCTTAAATTATAACATTTTACATCAGCTTTAGATATACTTTATTTTTTTATTTCAAGTTGATAATAAATCTGTGGAAGTTAACACTGCATTTAATTTTATGTAGTACGTATATATTTGAGATCTAAAATCAATTATTTGATCAACATAAGTAGAACGTAGTCATCAGTACAAATTTTGAAAAATTCCAACTTTTTCAAAATAAAAATAACCATTCTATAATCCGGACTAATATTAAATAAAAGGTATATTAATTTTTTTTTAATATGATTCCGAGTAATAATTTCTATACTATGGTTACTATCACTTCTATATATTTCCGTTATTTTTGATATATCAGAAAAATATGTTAAAAGTTGAAGATGAAACAATAATTTTTTGCAGAATCAAAATAATGTACTACGTAATGTACTTAAGTTGTAATGAAAATTCAAGTCCATTCTCTTAAAATTTGCTTATGTGGGGTCAACAAAAATTATTTTAACTTTTAAATATTAACGCAATAATATGTATTTGAATCAATATAACAAATATAATATTACACGAATAGTTCAAAATTTACAAAAAATTATGCTTAAATAATTTCATAATTAAGCTGTAGTATGATAGGCAAATGTAGGTTAATGCATTCCAATAAATAGACAATCCATAAGTTCAGCAAATTCTATCAAGCCAGTACCACAATCAGGCACTTGGTATCTCTCATAATTAATTTAAGAAGATATCAGCAACTTAATAAATTCTATCGATAACATCCATCTGGGGTGATGGTACTCCAATCAATATTCCTAAGTACTATCTTTTTAACTAAGTCTTCACAATCTCATATACTTTCATAAATCTAAATTTAACTGTTACCTTCTATCCCAGGTTACAACGATTTATATGAGGAAGACGACGAGGAAGAGTACGACGACGACCTCGATGACGAAGAAGTAGCAAGTCCCAGAGAACGTACTGCCATCGAAGAACAGTGGGACAATTCGGCAGGATTCGAGTTGACCAGTGTCGAACAAGAAACTTACGAGAAGTATTTCTATGGTACAGAACACTGGAATTATTTCACCAATGATGAAGATTTGGGACCAGTGATATTGTCGATAAAGCAAGAGACTTTGAATGGAAGAGATCAGTTTAGGATATTGGTGAGGGCCATAAGTTACACGGTGCATGGGCTGATACCGGCGTCTTGCGTTTTTGCAGACAGGTGAGTAGAAAAAATAGGAAAAAACATTATTGTAATTTTATTATTTATGAAAAGAAAATGTTTTTTCTACTAAACTAGGGGTGAGTGGCATCGTGCCTTAAAGCAAATTGCTGGAACTTCCCGTATCAGAATTATATATTCGAGGAAAAAAAATCAGTAATCAATAAAAATTGATCAATGATTTACAACAATTGTCTCATACATTTTCAAATAGCTAATTACAATCACTATTTATTTTATCGTTCATAAAATATACAGTGAGGATCTTATCGCCTAAAGTACTTGAGAAAGTTTACATTAGCAAGAGGTGCCGAATAAATCCGTCTGAGGATATATTTCTTACGATTAGAATAACGCATTTGAAATATATACATTTTGAAACTGAATTGTAAATTTAAAATTCGTATTTGAAGTATAAAACATTGTATATTTTTAAAAATTTTGAAAAAAAAATTTGATAATTTTGCAAATTTTTTTTAACCGTATAAGTAAACTTTGAAAATTAAAAATCTTGGTACGTAACCCAACAAAATTGTAACAAAAAAATTACTACTATTTTTTAAAAACTTCATCAAATATCTTATAATTTGATATGCATATGTCTAATGTTCATTTTTAACCACCAAATATAATTTTTTTTCATTTTTTCCTCTGTATTTCCGAAACCGCTAGACCTGTGTTACCAAAAGTTTCATCAAATATCTTGTAATTTCGTCATTACAAGTAAAATGATTTTTGATTCATTCAAATAGAAATCGAATGTTTTTTTAAGCATTCAAATCGGTTGATTTGTGCGCCCGAAATCGTTGACGAAAAATTGTATCCTAACATACATACATACTACGCACACACACATCCATTTTTTCTGAGGTTTGCCAAAATGATCAGAAACCTTTGAAACGTAAAGATATGCAACAAAATTTAAACGGGAGGTTAAAAATGTCTTTTTCCTACTAAAACTAATGGTGAATGGCATTGTGCCTTGAGGAAAATTGCTAGACAAATGGATATATCCATTCTCTCTAAGGTATGTCAAAATGTTCAGAAACCTCTGAAACGTAAAGATATGCAAATAAATTTACTTTGAATTATTGGATGATTACTACCTATAACTTACCCTACGGAAAGAAGGGTAATGAATTAGCTGGTATCTTTTGTGGTCCAATAAGATTTTTATATGCAAATTAAATTTTAAATTTGATAAGATCTTCGAACTTTTATTCCAGATAGATAAGTTATTTGTAGTTTTTAAAATAATGCAATTTTTATTGCATTTTACAAGTTACAAAAATTATTAAAATGTTAATTTGAACTTTACTGAATTTTAAATTTTGTTATTCAAACAGAGAACCTTTTTTTTCTAAAATAATTAGTTAATTGATTTTGTGGTAGTTAGTTATTGGTGAATATATCTCGTGTTAATTTTTATATCCAGTAAGTAAATATTAAAGCAAAAATTTAGAAGTTGGCTTAAATTTTTAAGGTTTAAGAAATAACAAATTAGAAATGCATAAAGAAGCAGCAAGTTCAAAATGCATAATTTTGTTTTGATTTTTCAGCACCTACTAAATTCTTTGATTCTAGTGTACATATCAACAGTTAAATTGGATTTTATTACTATTTTTGATATCTATGTTACAAGTTGCCAGTTCGAATCTTCGGGGAAATTATTCAACGATTTTTGAGTGTTCCCCAATATTTCATTTCTAATGCATGGCACTTTTATTCAAAATGTTTAATTTTTTAAAACAGTTTCTAATGATAAACAAAATTGTTACAGAAATGGTATATAAATTTTTCTATAAATGTGCCTTAAAGTAAGTTGGTTGGAATTCTAACTTCAAATTTTTTAACTGTTTATTTCAAATCTAAAGGTTTTTTTTTGTCTGAAAACTAATCAGTTCAATTTCGAATTTACATCTTTCGAATAGTTATTGAATATTGGAAATCGGTTCAGGACTTATAGTAAAAACTTTAACAAAAATTGTTGCATAAAGAAATAGCTCGCAAAAATTTAGCAACGACAATTCTTCTTCATCAAATGAATTTAAAATTTGTGGAATCAGAGCAGCCGTTTTTGTAAAAACTTCTACAAAAAGTCAAAATTTGTCTCACATACGAAGATACCTACATACTTTTGCAATATGAGTGTCAAACAATTCAGAATAACTTAAGGATAAAATTAGCAGTCCTACTTAATAGCAAAAACATGAACTCTAGCCTCCCCTATGAAGTATATATTTTTATATTGTAGAAGAAATAATTTATTTATAATCTATTTAATCATATGGTAAGTTATATCATTTCCGGTAACTATTACCATTTAACAAAACTATAGTACAACATTTTGAAGTTCCTCAAATTTTGATGAAAGTTTCATCCTTTGCAATAATTTAACAATCATGATAACTTTCAAAACTTAACTATACAATATTTCATATGAAGAAATAATGATGTGGTATAGTTGGAAATAAGAATGAATTAAAATTGGGCACTAGATTTAGATTACATCTGATCACTAATATAATTTACTTAGTAATGCAATTTCAATGAAAAATATCCTGTGTTGATTATGCCAAATGCAGAACACATCAAACTCATTCATTATTATCAATTTCATATTTGCATATAGTATATTATAAAACATTTGCAAAAAAATACAAAGTGGTAAGTTCAAAATTTAGGTAGCAAATACAAATTTTAAGTAGTGAGTACAACATTTAAAGCATTCAAAATTTAACTATCCTTTCACATGAATGACTCTGAACTGATAAAAATGACTACTATAAAAATATATTATGTATTACAAAATGTATATGAAATTAGACACATTTGACTACTTTAATTTTTTGAGAAAAAGTGGTAACTTCATTAGCAAAATAATCTCGTTTTTTGCAAAATCATTCACAATTTTAAATTTGAATATGAGTTCAACTTCGCTCATGTACCTACTTTCAGTCATAGAATTTTAGTTATATTATAAGCGTTGCCAATCATTTCGAAATAGAAGCATTTTTACTGAAAATATTTACCAAAACCCTGCTTGAATATACCGATATAATAATTATTATATATTTTTCTAGGTATAATCGTGAAGAAGTAGTCCGATCTCTTGGCAAAGAGGTCAACATCAATCCACCTCTGGTCCTTGGTCAGTTACCAGATACTCCAGAAGAATTGTTAAAATTGGACCAAGTTTTTATCAAAAGTGAACTAAAAGTTGGTGTCATCTATGTACGAGAAGGCCAATATACTGAAGAAGAAATTTTGGATAATAATGATAATTCGCCGTTATTTGATGAATTTTTACAAGTCTTGGGAGATAAAGTTAGATTAAAAGGTATACATTTTAATAATATATTTTAAGCAAACATTTGCCAATATTTTAATTGTTAACAATTGTGATTTTTAACTTGGTCCTGGTATTTATTTTCCTATCCATTTCCAGGTTTTGATAAATACAAAGGCGGCCTGGACACCGTCCACGATTTGACAGGGCTGTACTCGGTTTACACGAATTGGAGAAATATTGAAATAATGTTCCACGTGTCCACACATTTGCCTTATGAAAGACATGATCCTCAAAAATTACAGAGAAAACGACACATAGGGAACGATATCGTTTGTGTCGTGTTTTTAGAAGCCGATAATACTTCGTTTAGTCCTGCTTGTATTAAAAGTCATTTTTTGCATACGTTTATTTTAGGTGAGTAAAATTTGCAGTAAAACTTGGTAGAAATAAGTGGAAAGTTATGAAGAAATTGTGAGGAAATTTAGTAATAGTCACAAAAATAGAAGCAATACACCATTTAACCTTTTTCACTCGGATGCTGCCCGTCTGGCGACAAAATACGTATTAATTCTGCATTTAGCTAGTGTAAAGGGTTAATACATCTCTAAGTTGGCAGTTTTTTTTTTAACTTTCGAGCATCAAAAACCATAAAATTGTATGAAGAGATTTAATAATTTATGTATTATTTTATTTGCCTTTAAATTGCTTTGATCTTCAGACATTCTCTAAGTTTGTTGCTGAATATTATAAATATTATTGATCATTTATAATTATAGATAATTCCAAACACTTCAGCACTATATTTTTAGTTTAATAACAATCTATGTTTTAGTATTGTCAAACTTTACATTTAGGTAAAATCACATTCTGATTTGAACTACAAAATATGAATAAAAAGATAATATAACATGCCAACAAATGAGTAGATAATCTAGTTGAAAGTGGCATTGAGCCTTAAGGCAACTTGCATGAACTTTCCGAAATGTGTAATAATTGACTTAATCAATCGAATTTGAGATTTAGATATTCAGATGAAATTTTCAATTATTCATTTGGAAAATAGGGTTATCGCTATCAATTGAATCTAAACATTCCTGTTTCTAATTGATATCTTTCAGACATATTTTTAATATTTGTAATTATATTTTATAGTGCATAGACACTAGTGTTTGTATGTCCTAAAATTAGTAGCTCATTATTATAAATTTCAATGAATTGATAGTGTTTGAGTCATCACATCACAAAAGCAATTTTTGACACAAATTTTGACTATAATATTTGTTCAAACTTTGATGAATTTTTAAAACTAAACCCCTTGCCGAAGGAATGTAAAATTGTAGTATGTTGTTCAGAACCATGATATCTATCGGCATGAAAAGTTTCATCAAAAAAAATTTCAACAGTTAATTACGAAGAAACGGCTCGGCCAATCTTTGACCAAAACTGATCAGCACGACTCCCAAATAATAACTTTTGAATAGTTTTTGAATGTTTAAAATCGGTTCAAAATTTTTGGCTAAAACGGTGGACTGAATTTTTTTTTTTATTTTTTTGCTAATTGCAAAAAACGGCTTAGCCGATCATATCAAGAATCTAACCGACGAAAGTGCTTATCAAGTTTTATTATGGTTTTTAAATTTTTAAAATCGACTCAACCGTTTTTGAGATAACATTGATGAAAGGTCTAATTTTGACAAAAGGCAAAAAAACGCGACCAATATTTCCTACCTTTGACGTTTTTTCAAAGTTAAACGAGTTGTCGTAGAACCGTAATATTTTAGTATGATCTATAAGACTATGGTATCTACCTTCAAAAAAAATTACACTTTATTCCAAGAAAACGGCCAGGCCGATCTTTATCAAAAACAAATCAGCACGATTTCCAATCGATTTTTTTTGATGAAAACAAACTTTTTCTTCGGGAAGTTATAAATAACTCCTTCAGATTTTTTTGCTTTTTGTAAAAAATCTAACTTTTCTGATCATTTCTCAAAGGCATTCGATGTAAATATTTCAATGATAATAAAACAATTTGGCATATGATTGATAGAAGTGATTTACCTGTTCAGTATCTGGTGAACGTTACATCTTGAAAATAACCATAGTGGATACTTTTCGAAAAAAATTTTTACAATGACCACTTGAAACTTCAAAAATTAAGTCATCAGATTTTTTCACTTTCAATATTTGGAGCCATGTTGCTCTGGTTTTTTGAGATTTTGTCTAAAGTTGCCCTATTAGCTCAAAATACCCTTTTATTTTTAGTATATATCAACTTCTTTATTCATGGACTAGAAATAGCTAAATCTTGATACCGCCAACATTTACTGTATTTTTTTCTTACGTGTCTATCAAGTAATTGATAATTCAGCACCAATAATATCTTGATTGTAAATTGAGATCAAATTTAAAATCAGATCAGTAGTTTGAGACTCTATATAATACAAACAGTCGAATAGAACATGAATTTTAATATATAGTTGATTGAATAAATTTTTGCTTAATCCATCGAATATTTCCTTACCTTAAAAAGTGTCGAAGCAAAATTCCAAAACGCGGCTTCGCTCTTCTAACACTTCGAAGTATATTAAAACTTATTGTTATTAAATTATAAGTTCATTTTTAAGTATCATTATTTTTCTTTAATATTTCATATTTTCTTCCATATTTTAGTTCGAGTATCAGCCCGCATAAAACGAAGACCCACTCGGTACGAAGTCTCCGTTGTGACCCGCGATGAGGTTGGAGCCTACAAACCATACCTTTGGGAGCAAAGTGTATTCAACAAAGGTCCAATGTTCAGAGAATGGCTCCTAACTAAATAGTTAACGGAGAAAGAGCCAGTTATTCGGCCCCAAAATTCGCCAGAATGCAGGAACGCACCAGATCGCAGATGCTGGAAGATATTGTCGCCAATTTGGCTAACCATGCGGAGACTGGACAAATACCCAAGCCTTATAGAAGAGGTCAGTAATAGAGATAAATATTTATTTTAATAATATTGGTGCAGTTCTCAATATGATTTTTATATATTTGTTTTCTTTTTTTTAGGTTCGTGGCGACCAATAGGTCACATGCGACCTAGTTCACCACTTTTGGACTCCGTGAGGGATCAATTCGAGGATTATGATGAATTGGCTAAAGATTTTACGAGAATGTTCCTGAATAGTGAAGCAAATGCTCTGGCCAATGGTCAATTGTTTGATGTAGTATTCATGGTAGGCCAGTCTAAACAGAAAGTCAAGTTTATTGGAGTCAGAGCCATACTTGGAGTTAGGAGCAGGTGAGATAAAGAATAGATTTTTTTTATTATTATTATTACAATTCAACAAGGTTTAAATAAACTCATTGTAGTAACAGAAAGGTCTCTTATGGACTTTTATTGTTGCAAAAGCGATCAGCTAAAGAAAACTTCATATTTTGTCAATTAATGACAATTTTTTTCAGTATATGTAGTATGCGATATATTATGATTACATTTACATGTAATCCGCAGTGCATTTGGGCAGGATGGTATAAAAGATGACTTTAATGAATTTACTTGTTAATCAAAATTATCATATACTAGTTAACCCGGCAAACGTTGTTTTGCTAAGTAAGGTATTTTGCAAACATTTTCTAGTAGAAAATCTAGAAAATTAATACTTTAATTTAAGTGTGTAAGGATGTGTTGTTTGAATGCCATATACAACGAGATATTATAAAAATAATAAACCACATTAGTTTGTCTATATTTTGTCAACACAATCAAACAGGAAGTTTTATACTTTTTCTATAGAAAATATGGTATAATCCAATCCAAGTTTTTTTTGGTCTTTCGACTTATTGATTACGTTTCAAGTTTTTCAGATTCTTTTTGGATTCTGGATTTTGTGTATAATTGTAAATAATATTACTGAGCTTATACAAAATTTTTGCAATTTCTGCGAGGAGAGATTAAAATTGAATTAAGTATTTCTTCTTTGACCTGCTCTTTGAAAAGTTTCAAGTAATATTCGATGAATTGAAAGAAATTTAATAAAAAGTAAATATGTAAAGCAGGGCGAGGCACAAAGGTCCAATTTGACTTTAAGCAAATATAAACTACATTCTGAAAACCAAAACAGTTTTATCACAACAAATAACACATTTCAAACAAACATTAACTGACTACGTTCAGTAAAACTGCCAGCTACTTCATCATTGTAGAAATGTGCTTTTTGTGATATATTTCAAACAAAATTATCTAGACCTTTTTACCCTATAGGCGGGGTAACTTGTAACGGCCAGGTGGCAAACAGGTTTAATGTCTTATTTTGATTTAAAAATATTTTACAAAATAATTACATTTTTGATTAATGATAAAAAAAACTACCAACGGAAGAAAATACTTTTAATTATGGATTTTCAAAAATTAATGTTTATCTCCTGATAGCAAAGTCATAAGAATCAAGGTTATAGCTGATTATGCATCTTTTTTCTTTTCCAAATATTGTTGTTGAACAATGCTTAACTTTAATGGTTTTTGAGACATCAGTGGTGGACCTTTTCAACCCCAGGCCTTTATATACTACTAACCATTCTTTGATTCTAGAAAATGATAACTGGGAATAATTTATTCAACAAAATGTCACTTTGATCGATTTCAAATTTAGGTTCTGATTTTAAATAACATAAATAAAAAATAATATAACCTAGAAAATGTTTTATAAATAACAATGAGTGTATAATTATACATATGAGTTTTTTCAGAGCACCGTGTTTGAGAAAAATATGATTTGCAAAACGAGAGTGCTATAACGACTAAAAGTGAATTTTCATATTAATATTTCAAAAAATTTTATATATTGAGTTTCTAGTAACACTTGCGCCCCGTTTAATAACGTTTATGTGTATAAATATAACTACAAACAACAAAACTACTAACTACAATTTAATTATAATTCAATAATATTCACCTAAAACATAAACAAAATATTTTGGACTATGTGCTTGACTTGATCATAAGACTTTCAGCACATAAAAATATATGTTATATGATTTATTTTCTTTATCCCAGGGTGTTCCAAGAGATGTTGTACGGTATCCAAACTGGATTTGGATCACCACAAGTACCCGTGGCAGAGCTTTTAGCCCGTCCTGTTCCGCCTCTGCTTTCTCCGCAAGCAGCTCGACCGAAAAGCAGTAACTTTTTGCAAGTGCCTGATATAGAATCGCCCAGGTAAACAAAATATTTCAACTTTTATAAAGTATTCTATAACTTATTTAAAAACATACAAGTGTGGAGTTTAATTGCCAACATTTTGGACCCACTGAGACCCAACTGAATTTGATTATTTATTATTATTAAAATTGTTGTTGCTTTAAATTCTAAGAATAGTATGGTAATCACACTTGTTCATTCGAACAAGACGAAGAAATCCAATCAAACATCCTCTCGGGTAGAATGATTCAATTTATTTTTTTAGAAGTATTACGAGTTAATAAAGACTTTGCAGATTAGGATTCATTTGGATACTGTTGAATATTAAGAATTTTTGTATAACTTTAATTTATTTTATATAGACCAAAGAGTGTACCTAGTTCTCCGATGGTAAAACGCGCCTTCTCTCGCCTTGGAACTATAACTGCAGGCTGGGGCAGGTCTATCAGGAAGCAGCATTCGCAATTGCATGCTGATGATAAGAAAAAGTGGGCCAGTTCGCACGATTGTTCTAGTAAGTAATAAATCATTATTACTAGTTCTATGCATTCCAGTCCTTGGTAGGGAAGTTTATCATTCCTTAAGAAAACACTCCAGGTTTTTTGTTACACCAGTATTCCTAGTCTACTTTTTAAATAATATTGGATTATTGTCCTACGACCTGGTTTTTTATTTTCTGTATTCTTCTGATATATATCTTACATATAATCCTAAACGATTATTCGGATTTTGATAAATCTTTCTGGAGAGTGTTAAGGGATTTTTTTAATACGTATGAGATTATAAAAATATATTAATGTTGTAGATATAAATGGAAAAAATTGCAAAAAACGAGATGTCATTGTTTGACATTGAAATATTTGGGACTATATATATATATATATATACTATATATTTACTTATGAGCCTAGACAATATGAGAATATGTATAATAAATTGATAATTATGAATAAAAAAATGAAATGTCTACATTATTATTACCAAAGAGCAGCTGAGATGTGCCAAAAATTTAAATAATATAAGATACAGGATATGTATGGCAGATTGAATGATACACATATGAACTGGATTTGAGAAATTAATTCACTTAAAATATGAAATAAAGTAATAATCAGGGCCGGTTCTACCTTGAATGCGACGCATGCAAAAAATACGAGCGCACGCCTTAGGGGGCGCCAACACAAGATTCGGATATGAAATTTTTAATAAAGTTTTTTTTTCAATATAATTCAAAAAATATATAATTTCTTTGCATCTTTCATTAATCTTTGCACAATATTTTCAAAATACGTTTAAAATTTTACTTTAAAACAACAAATGCGAAAGTAAAGATGAATACATACAATTTGGCTCTTACGATATCAATTAGGGTAAGTTTAAGATGCAATTTTGGATATCTCAAATAATAAAAAATTTAATTAAAATAATCCAATATGATGTACCAGTGTGTTTATGCTATGGTTATGTTCAATAATGAAAGGCTAGAATTTTTTTGCTATCTATGATTTGCTCAATAGAATAAATCGCATGAAATGTCAAAAATAAATAAGTAAAATGTTTCAAAAGCCAATTATTAATCAATGATAATAATTTTATTAATAAACTGTTAAAACAAGTAAAATAATATCGGCGGGGCGCTAGAAAAAAATAGCTTGTTGGCGCAGAGGACCCCAGAAGCGTTCCTGGTAATAATGTATATTAAATTATTACTAAGAAAAATGTAATTTATATATTATAATTTCTAAAAGCCAGGTCAAATATGATACGAGATTATAAAAATTATAGGCAACATTATTGGAACAATTATTTTGGGTGCAAAAATCCAAGGTGATATTGTACTTTTACCGCGGATACTATGTATTAATATTTTCTGAATTTATAATATTATACCTTTTGAAAGACTTCAATTTCCAATATAGTGTGGGAATTGAGACTCCTCATTTTATTTAAAGCAGTTCTACATTTAACATCGCTCATGTTTATGTATAGGCATTTTGGAGTGAAAAGTAATTTAAAAAACAATAATTATTATTTTTAGGTAAACGGTAAATATTAGTATGGGATATTAGTGCACCCTGTACCCTGCAATCCTGCACCCTTACGCGAGATATGATTTTGGACAAGTGAATAAAATCTCTCTGATTTTGTTTCCGCGTTTGTTTGTCGAGTAAACTTAATGAAATGAATTGATATCAAAACAAAATATTATATTGGATGCTTTTGGAGTTATTAATAAACTCGTGTTATTATCCGTAGTCTATCGTGTTATATTACTGTTTCATTATAAAGTATATTTAATTAATATAGAAGCACATTTTTCTATAAGTTCATTCAAACCGTTACTATCGTGTTAATTTATGCAATTGTTTTTATCAGTATCTTTAATACATTGTAGAAAGATTTATTTACTATTTATTATATTTTCTAGATAAAGAATCCAAAGACGGCAGCAAAGACAAGTCTGCTCTGCAACCTTTACCAGTGCCTCGTCTCTCGGTCTGTGCAGATGCTCAAAAAGTAGACAGAGCCAAACTAGCTCAGACTGAATTTTCGATTATTGAGTTCGATCCTGACACATTCCGAGTACTTTTGGACTACCTGCATACTGGTAGTTGTCCTTTGACCTGCGCCACGATACCTGGTCTGATATGTGCAGCTGAACATTACGATTTACCTGAACTTCTTCAGGCGTGCTTCCATCATGCGAAACAGTTCTTGAGGATTGATGTGGTAAGAATCATACTTAAAATAAATAGTTGAAAGTGGAATTAAGCCTTAAGGCAAGTTGCATGAACTTCCCGAAATGTGTAAGAATTAACTTAATCAATCGAAATTGAAATTTAGATATTTAGATATAATTTTCAACTGTTTATTCCAAAAATAAAGTTATCGCTTTCAATTAAATCTAAACATTGCGATTTCGAATAGAATTTTTTCTAACGCATTTAAATTAACTGTAATTATATTAACTATATTGTACAGACACGTGCTTGTGTGTCCTAAAATTGTTGCTTATTATTTTAAATTTTAATGAATTGAAAATGTTTGACTCATTACATCACAAAAGCAACTTCAACGCAAATTTTGACTATAATATTTTCTCAAACTTCGATGAATTTTTGACATTAAACTATTTGTCGTAGGGCCGTTTCATTTTAGTATGTTTTATAAGACCATGACATCTATTGTCAAAAAAAGGTTCATAAAAATCGGCGAACATTTTTTTTCAACAATTAATTTAAAGAAAATTGTCCGGTAGATTTTCATCTAAAACTAATCACTATCATTCCCAATTAATGTCTTTCGAACAGTTTTCAACTTCCCGTAGGGTAAGTTATAGTAATCGCAAAAAAATCGAAAATAAAAATTTTTATATATCTTTACGTTTCAGAGGTTTCTGAACATTTTGGCATACCTTAGAAAAAATGGATGTATGTGTGTGTGTGTGTGTGTGTGTGCGTAGTATGTATGTGTGTGCGGATACAAATTTTCGTCGACGATTTCGGGAACACGGATGAAGCAATTTGAATAATTTAAAAAACATTCGATCCATATTGATAAGGAGACGTGCTGATTAGTTTTTGGCGAAGGCAGGTCTAGCCGTTCCGGAGATACGGGGCAAAAAGTGCCAAAAACGGTAACTCAGTTTTTAAGAGAACGGAGCGTCCGATTTGAATAATTCAAATAACATTTTATTTGTATTGACTAAATAAAAAACTGTTCAAATTTTTGGAAAGGCAGGTCCAACGACTTTGGAGATATGGGGGAAAAAGTAAAAAAAAGAGCTATTTGGCGGTCAAAAATAAACATTAGACATATGCACATTAAATTATCAGATATTTTATAGAGATTTTAACAATAAGTATAAATTTTGTTTACATTCCTGTGGGTTCCGTACCAATGTTTATCCGTTAGACGGCGACGCGGCGCTTACGCGCATGTATTTTATCCCCATATGCAGATAAAGCCGTACGATTGCTTTGAAAAAAAGTTCAGATCTTTCAAAATATGTTAAAATAAAGAAAACATTTTTTTTCAAAAAAAAAAAAAATTAAAAAAAATTTTTTTTTTTAATTTTTTTTTTTCAAAAAAAGTAATTTTTTGTCCAATTTATAGTTTCTCAAAAATCTTATTTTTTTGAAGTAAAATTTTTTCAAGAATGTTAATCGTTTTTAAAAAAATAATAATATTTGGTACGGGAAGTTCCGGCAATTTGCCTTAAGGCACGATGCCTTAATTGCCTTAAGACAGAATTCCACTTACAGCTAGTTGATGTTTTAAAATCGATTCGGTAGTATGAGCTTAAGTGTGGACAAATCACAAAGACAAACGATAATCTTTTAAATTTCTGAAATCGGTTCAGGCGGTTCTGAACAAACGTCGATGAAAGTTCTATTTTTGGCAAACGCCAAAAAACAATACTATTTTTTGCAAACTTTGACGAATTTTTAAAATTAAACGACTTGTCCTTTGTAGGGCCGTAATATTTTAGTATGATCTATAAGACTATAAAACTAGAGTTTATACAAAAACCGACATTTAAGAAAATCGGTTTTCAAATTGTAAATTTCCCAGAAAACCGATTTTAACCGTAATAACAAAAAAAATATCGGCAAATTTAGTGTGATTCAAAGCAGTTTTTGACTGAATTTATTTAATGCACAATTGTATGAATAGTAAACTAATTTATTTTAATTTTAATTAGTAGAACAAAGAAATTATAGTTAATTTGTATTATGCTAGAGTATAAAAAGAGTTCATATAAATAAAAATAATATATTTTTTAATGAAAAACTTTTAATTAAGCAAAAAGAAATTAGATACATGTTGACACATATTTGTTAATGTCAATTTTTTTAGTTCTAAAAACAATTAAAAAAACTCCGAGTTTATTCTATTTTGAACAATTTTAATTAATTAATTTCGAATATTTATTTATTTTTTGGTTTAATGAAATATGTGCAAAAAGCTGAGGTCGTCTATGGATTTGTTATTTAGAAGTGCTCTAATATTTCTGAAAATTTTGTTCTTTTATTTGTGAGTTCTAGGGCTAAAAACTCTTTTTTAAAGTTTAAGTATAGCAATTTACTCCTTCAACAAGAAGTCACGTTGATCTAAATTAATATACGAGTATACATTGATTTAATGATATAAGTTAATATATATTAGACAAAATAAAATATAACACAGAACCTTTCTGGGAAATATAACAGACTGATATGATTCTAAATTCTGTCGAACCCATATGATTCCAAGTATCAAAAAGCTTGTTTCTATCTAGTATGTTTGTCATTCTTTATTTATACAGTGAAAACCGTTTTTTTCCGCTAAGAAAACGGTTTTCGAATTTCATAATTTTCGTCAAAAATCCAGTTTTTGAAAACCGACAAACCCTTGTATCTACCGTCAAAAAAATTCATAAAAATCGTCGAAATTTTTTTTATAACACTTTATTACAAGAAAACGGCCTGGCCGATCTCTAACAAAAACTCATCAGGTCGATTCTCAATCAATATCTGAATTTTCAAAATCCATTTAATTTTTTTTCACATTTCTGCTATTTACAAAGTAACGACTTGGCCGATTGAGATACATCGAATGGTTTTTAAATTTTTAAAATCGATCCTGCCGTTTTTGAGAAAACGTCAATTTACGGCAAAAAATCTGTTCACATGCATACACACATATACACACACACATATAATTTTTCCAAATTTGGTTTCATCTGATTCAGAATGTCTTGAAACGCCGAGAAAACATAAAATTAGCGAATCAGATTTTTTGATGAAAACATAAACTTCTCCTTCGGGAAGTTAATAAAAAACTGAATATAAAGCTTTATGAATTATTATATAAACTTTCTTTGCTAACTTGATATGATTCTTTGCTAGGTTTGTGTGATGCTGATCTCCCTAGAAAACTACTACTGGCGTTACACATCAGCTTCTGAACTGGTCAATATGATCCTTGCATTCGTAGAAACCAGGGCGTACGCCTTATTTCAGTGCCCTGAATTTTTATCTCTGTCCGAATCCATGGTGCAGATGATAATGGTTAGAAATCTGGAAATACCAGAAGTTAGAAAATTTGAAGCAATGCTAGCTTGGTCTAGGCACAAAGTCAGAACGAAAGCTTCTTGTAAGGATGCCAAGGTGGAATTCAAGTGTACTATGGAAAGATTGGCAAGGGATCTTAAATTGTATAGAATAACGCCTCAAGAGTTGATCAGAGTTGTGTTGCCTACCAAGACAATTAAAAATGAAAGGATTTTGGAGACTTTGATGTACCAGGCGAATTCTGGTATGTACAGGATACAAGATAGTTACTTGGAAGCTTGTCAACAGAGATTGCAGAAACAGGATTCGAGATTCTCGGAGTGGGAAAGTTTCGATTATGGATTGTAAATTTTCATAAAAGTGAGTAGATGAGCACAAATAATTTGCATAATATTGTATTTTTAATGTTACTAACTCTGAAAGTGGTCAACGTTTGACCAAATTGTGATACTTGGATAATGGCACTCGCTCTAGGAAAACAAAAAAAAATGTGGCCAATTGGATAAAATATGGTTAATTTGTGCTGCTTTTATTCAGCAATCTTTACAAATCGTTGTCATCGGTTTTTTAATAATTTTGCAAAAATATGGCACGATTGATGCAACTTCTCAATTTGTTGGTCTGGTGTATTTCAATAAGTGTTGTCAGCTTTGAGCCTTAAAAATGGAATTTTTAAGACAAAATTGGTGGCAATTCAAGTTATAGCCATTTTGATCCTTAGCAATAACTTAAGTTTTGTTACTTGCTTCGGATTTTTGAATTTGGCACAATTAAATTAGATACTTTTAAAATGCTGATTTTATTTGAAATTCAGTATTGTAAATTTATCTAATATATAAAAGATAGATTTTGTTTTCTTATTGACTGCAACTTCTAACTATAAATGACATTTTTGAGTGGGAAATAAAATAAAGGACACATTTATGAATATGTAATATATATGCAATACTAAAAATAATATATAATTCTGGCCACGTTTGCAACATGCAATAAATAATCATGATGGTGACTGTAAAACGTTTTCATATATTTATTATATATGTTAGGGTGGTCCTTAATATGGACATTTTCGATTTTTGCTCCCAACGGCTCAAATGCTTCCAAATTAATGAAAAACTATTCTCTAAAAGTTTTATCTATCAATATAAACATTTTGATAGTCCGCAATTCAATTAAAATTTTCGTGTATTTATTAATAACAAATATCATTAAGTATATACTTGCGCCATCTGTGGTAGCAGGCTTGTAACTTTGATCGAAATTTATTACTGATAATTTGAGTGTCAACATCACCAATTAAATAAATATTTTGCTGCAAAATTAATTTTGATGATGAATAAATATTTTGTTAAACAGTCCACATGGATTTAATTAGAGGTCATGTGTTTTAAAAATATTTTTATGTGCCATAATATTTGAGTTTGCAAATACTGTCACAGATGGCGCAAGAATTTACTTAATGACATATGGTAATAATAAATAAACGATAGTTTTAATTGAATTGCGGACTATCTAAATGCTAATATTGAGAGCTAAAACCTTTAGAGAATTTTTTTCATTAATTTGGACACATTTGAGCCCGTGGGAGCAAAGAAATTCGAAAATGTACATATTAAGGACCACCTATATTATATATATAATATACATACATGAGATACATGTAATCGCCGTAATTTTTACCATTATTTGAGGACTTTTTAAACTGGGAAGGAATGATTGAATCTTTTTGAATTTTTTTAGGGTTATTTATTATATATTAAAATACACAAAAAAAAATTTTTTTTAATTTTTTCTTTTTAAATGGCTGCCGTAAAAATAAATCTGCCAAGACCCTCTCGGAAAACGCCATCAATTTGCGGGCGTTCTCACTTTTCGTACGGTGATCTGAATTTAAAAGAATTAGTTTGTACGTGTTCATAAAACATATATCTTCTAGTTAAACCAAAAAAAAATTAAAAAAGTCACAAAATCGTAAATTGGCACACCTTAGAAAAAAAAAGTTCGATTTTTCACCTTTTTTTCAATGGTTTTTTTGGTAAAAGGGTTAATTTTTGAAACATTTTTTGGAATGTTTGAGGTTTAACTAGAAGCTATTACTGTAAAGTAGATGTGTGCAAAATTTCATTGGAATCGGTTGAGAACTTTTTGAGTTATCCCGCCCGCAAATTTCAAAAATGTCGTTTTGAGAAAAACGCGCTTAAAGTTTACAATAGCACTCAAGCGTCGAGTTGAGGCGTGGCACTTAAATGAGTTTTTATTGTATAAATAATGATAATTTTGTTTTGAATATTTACAGGCATATTTTTGAGATGTTATTGTAACGATTTATGAAATAAAAAAAAATCGATTTTTTTTTTCTTGTTACATGTATCGCCCCCCTTAAGATATTGTACTAAGTGTTAGCTTAAGAATGCGTCTCTTCCCGTTTCTGGAAAAACTCAAAAATCAAAATTTTTTCTAGCTGTTTTACCGCCGAGTTTTTCTAGAATTCTAGTTATTCATTTATAAATATTAAAATAATATGTAATGTGTAAATGTAAATCTTAATATCGGATTGTAAATATCAGAATAAATATTTTTCAATCATCGCCGACGTAGCTATAAGTGTAAAAGTCAACATATAAGTGTTTATACGTACCAAAACAAAATGATTCTGAAGCAATTGATGTAATTTTTTTTTTGTCATTTTGCAACATTGTCATTTTTTTCACATTTTGGAACAAAGATTTATTTGGGTGTAAAAGATAGATTTGGTGGAATATTTTGCTAACAGTTCTGCTATACAAATTTGTAAAGTATGCCAACTTTCCTTCCATAATGTAGAAGAAAAGTATTTGATTGGTTTCAAATATATTAATATTAATATTATTTTTATTATGAAATTAATTTTAATTTTGTGCTAATCAAATATTAAAATAAATCTTTCGTAAAGTATTTTTATAATCAAACTTCAATTAACCTATGGAAAACCTACGGTTTCATCAGAACTTACTTTTAAAATTCCAATCAAATTTAGACATTGGTAAGGAAATACATTCCAATTTTTAGAATCAAATATACCAAAAATTATTTATACGTCGTTGACATATATTTTGAATTAAATACTGCATTTTTTATGACTACTAATTTAAAAATAATAGTAATAATTAATTTGAGAAAAATCAGTCAACAGTTTGGTCAATGATCCCAAACGGTTCAAATTGATATTTAGAGAGTTTACTTTTTTTATTTTTATTTATGACATGATCATAATATGATTCAATTAATTTAAAAGGAAAATCAAATTTATTTAAGTAATAGTAATTTTGCTTTTTTGTTAAAAAATGTTACTATCATAAGGATATGAATTTGGATGAACCTCATCACCATTTTTGGGTAAATTTGTTTTTATCCAACCTTAACATCAATTTATGTTTTTTTTTCTTTATTGACATACAATTTTTATATCTAAGCCATGTCTCATATTCAAAAATCTCATATTTATTATATTTAATAATTAGTTTACATAACATGCTTTTTATGGACTGATTTATTCTTATTTTTAAAGACTACTTATAGCAGTACTTTTAGTAAATATTTTGTTCTTAATCTAAAAAATCCAGAAGTTGATGGAACTGAAATAATTTGGCTTATATGATGACACCAATATTCAAGAAGTGTTATTAAGATTTGATTACAAAAATAAAGGTAAAATTAATTAAGTAAACAATATAGTGTACCTATCACAAAAAATTTGAAGCATTGATTGAAAAGAATGGAAATCATATCAATAATATCATTGACGATCATATTTATACATTTTTCTAAAAAAATATTTTTTTCTTATTATTTATCTGTCACGTATTCATTATTATTTCTTTCAATAAATTCCAATTTCACAGACTCTAAATTTTTTGACTTTCTTTTTTTGAGTTTTTGACTAAATTTTTGATTATTCCTTTATGGCCTTCAATGTACAAACTTTTCTAATTTATGCTCTAATATTTATATTTATTATATCCATATATAAAAAATGTCACAAACCAAAATCAATTTTAATTTATAATATTTTTATAACAATTTGTATATTAAGATTTATTAAGAAGTGTCTTTAATGAGTGTGCTTGACTGAGAAACATTGGATTTTGAAATATTTTCTTTTAAATCTAAAATCTGGTTCTCAAATCATTTTTTATTTGAAAAGTAATGAAAACTTTATTTTGTAATTATTTCTTAAAGACTTCTAAAATCATATGCACTATATACAAAAAATTACCACGACGAATAAATTCAGGATTAACAAAAATAAAATTCTCATACTAAAAATTTATATCTATAGTTTTAAAGATTTTCAACTTAAATTCTTTGAAGAATTCAACCCATCTAATAAAATTTTACAGTTTTTATTTTTACAGTTTAGTTAAGTAATATTATTTTTATCAGAAATTACACAAACATTAGTTGTAATAATTAGATTTTAGAAAGCAATTGGAATTGTAATGTTTTAATATTATTACTAATTGACTTTTGTATCCAAATTTCTGGTTTCTTTATCAATTATCCCCCCATTAAATCTGGCCCCAGAGCAGAGTCGCGCGCCGTCACTGCTCCCGTGCTCCTTTTCGCGCGCTAAACCTTGTTCTAAATTTATAAATATAACTCAGCCTACATAATATATAAAAATATTTTAGAAAACTGTTTATTTATAACCAACGGCCAGAGTTTGTTCTATTACTAATCGAGCGGTGGCCAACACGATTCGGATTTGATCACAAATATTAGGCTAAAGTAGCCTACTAACAAAATTATTTAGTCTGATGGCAATTTTAAAAGTGAATTATGGTAGAATATTTTAAAGACAACAAGTTGAATAAGCTACCTGAGTAAATTCAAAGTTACCTTTTAAGTTATTTTAATTAAAAAAAATTCAAAACAGAGAAGAGCTTTTAATACCATTGTACATTTTTGAGCCGATTTTTTTAAATATTTCTGGAAGTCATATATAATTGAAATTAATCAACAAAAATCATAGATACTTCGTAAATCGTAAAACATTTTTAGTTTACCAAATTTGAATATAGTGAAAAGATTTGGATCGATTTATACTTTTTGAGTCAATTTTTTGAAAATTTCTTCTGTACCATGAAGAGACAAGTTTTAACTACTTGTGAAATTTAAGTAAGACGTGCTGAAATTTTATCTATTTTATTTAGATCCTAATTTTGAGACACTTTGGTCATTTTCTAACTAATTTTGTTTAAAAAGTATCATATCACAAACAAATACTTTACATTTATGGAAAATAATTTTACAGTCTTGTAATTATTTTATGTTTGCTATAACGTTACATCATATTTAAAAAAATCAGG